GCCAGGCTTCCTTGCGCGGGCCCACAATCGTAAACAATCAGAAACCAGGGCCAACGAGCCAGGGGGGGGCGCGCGGCCGCCAAGCGTCCTTGCGCGGGACCTGGGGGGGCAAGCACAATCGCAAATAATCAGAAACCAGCGCCAGCGAGCCAGGGGGGTCGCGGCAACCAGGCTTCCCTGTGCGGGCCCACAATCGCAAATAATCAGAAACCAACGCCAACGAGCCAGGGGGGGGCGCGCGGCCGCCAGGCGTCCTTGGGCGGGACCAAGGGGGGCAAACACAATCGCAACTAATCGGAAACCAACGCCAGCGAGCCAGGGGTCGCGGCCGACAGGCTTCATTCCTTTGCTGGCCCACAATCAGCAATAACAAAAACCATACAGCGCAACGAGCAGGGGGGGGCGCGCGCCCGCCAGGCGTCCTTGGGCGGGACTGGGGGGGGGAAGCTCACTTGAAAATAATCAGAAACCAGCCAGGGGTGGCGCGGCCGCCAGGCGTCTTTCGGCGGGCTCTTGAAAGGCGAAGCACAATCGCAAATACTCCGAAACCGGCGCCAACAAGCCAGGGGGGGGCGCGCGGCCGCCAGGCGTCCTTGGACGGGGCCTGGGGGGGCAAGCACAATCGAAAATAATGAAAAACCAACGCCAGCGAGCCAGCGGGGTCGCGGCCGCCAGGCGTCTTTGGGCGGGCACTGGAAACGCGAAACACAATCGCAAATAATCGGGAACCAGCGCCAGCGAGCCGGGGGGGCGCGCGGCCGCCAGGCGTTCTTGGACGGGGCCTGGGGGGAGCAAGCACAATCGCAAATAATCAGAAACCAGCGCCAACAAGCGAGGGGCGTCGCGGCCGCCGGGCGTCTTTGGGCGGGAACTGGAAAGGCGAAGCACAATCGCAAACAATTGGGAACCAGCGCCAGCGACCCAGGGAGGGGCGCGCGGCCGCCAGGCGTCCTTGGACGGGGCCTGGGGGGAGGCAAACGCAATCGCAAATAGTCAGAAACCAGCGCCGGCGAGCCAGGGGGGTCGCGGCCGCCAGGCTTCCTCGCGCGGCCCGCCGCCGAGGTCGGCGCCGCCGCCTGGCGCCCTGCGGCGCGCACTGGAGCTGCCACTCGCAGTCGTAAATACGCAAAAACACTCGTAATCGCAAATAAGCTAAACATTACACAAAGCAGAGGTCGGCGCCGACGCCTGGCGTCCTCGGGCGCGCACTGGCGCAGCCACGCGCAATCGCGAATAAGCAAAAACCGCAGCGCGCCAAAGGTCGACGCCGCCGCGCGGCGTCCTGGGGCGCGCCTTGGCGCAACCAATCGCCATCGCAATTAAACAAAAACCAACGCAGGCAATCCAGAGATTGGCGCGAATTGCCAAGGGAGCCCGAGCACGCCCTGAAGTCCGACGCAATTGCGAATGAGCAAAAACGCATGGAAACGATTTGATTCTGATTTTGGGGATGCATGCGGGGCCCCACTTGTCACTGACAACAAGCGAATCAAAAAGCCTCTGCGGCGGTTTTGAAAGGGCGCCTACGATTTAAGAAACTTGGCCCGTAAGAAAGTGACAGCCCCTGGCGCGCTGAACATGGCCGCGGCATAAGAAATCCGCAGGGGCTGAAACGAAAAAACAACTTTCTTATTGAGCGCCGTGGGTGTATCTTGTTTCGGACGTTTGCGAGTAGGCACTTTGCGAGTAGTGGAACGCGCCTGGTGATAAGCGGTCCTACGACAGCCAGGTAATGCGATCACACTCGGATGTCCAATTATGTATGCATTGGTGCCAGTCTCACGCCTCCGCACCTCCGCGTGATAACGAGGAGCTTGGCGGGACGTCGATGGTCGTTGTCGTCGTCATCATCATCATCATCACCACCATCATCATTATCATCATCATTATGATCATCATCAGCAGCAGCATCATCATCGTCATCATCAGCATCCTCGCATCATCATCATCATCATCATCATCATCATCATCATCATCATCATCATCATCATCATCATCATCATCATCATCATCATCATCATCATCATCATCATCATCATCATCATCATCATCATCATCATCATCATCATCATCATCATCATCATCATCATCATCATCATCATCATCATCATCATCATCATCGTCACCATCATCGTAACCATCAACATCATCATCACCATCATCATGCCAGTCTTGGCCAGTCTTCCTCGCAGAATGGCAAGGCAGCTCGGGCACGGTGCGAGCCTCAACGCTCGGCAAGTGCAACGAGTCTTCGGGGCTTCCCTCCACTGCCCTTCCTTCAACATATGCAGCGCGCTCTGGCCGGTACCCTTCGACAAAGAGGGCCATGTCGTCTCGCCTGCCTAACTCACTCCCCCATGCCCTACCTCTGTGTTGCCTTTTCCTTCGAACGAGGACGGGGAGCAGCAGCGCTGCAACGGCAGCAGCACAAGAATGAAGCGGAGGAGAGGTACTCTTGAAGGGGATCGTTCCGTACTACCGTTCCCAGCTTTCAACAGCATGCGGTCTGCATGCTCTGTACCTGTCATCCGAGCTGAAACTTCCAACCTTATCGCTGCCCCAAGGCGCATGCAGAAAATTTCGCCCCGGCGGAACGGAAGAAGCGTCGAGACCCAAACTATCAGACACTCGACAACATCGCTATATCAACAGAAACGAAATGGACCTGCAACAAAACGTGAAGACGCTTGGCATCACACTCCCAACCGCTGAATAGAACCGATGGTTAGAAGCATGACTTGCAAACCTTAGGAAATAAGTGTTGACGCCTCGTCGGGTGAGGTCGATGCTTTGACTTGCGGTCATGTTTTACGTAATGGTGATGACATTCTCAACAGCGACCACACAGGCGTCAATCGCGCTGAGCATGCTCGACATACTGCTTATGATAAGAGGCTCCAGGCCTGCCCGTGAAGACACTCGCACACCCCGAAAGACCGCCACCCTCCTCAGGACGAAGGCAGGCGTCGACCTGCATCTCGTCTGCCGCTTCCTGCCAACGCCAGGATGTCAGCACGCTCCGTGGTACAGGGCACCATCTGCCCTTCGTACCCCTTTTCGATATTTCCGCCCTCGCCGCTTACTACACCAACTCTGAGATATTTGTAGCTCCTCCGCTCCACACACAACCATCCAGCTGCTTGGCCTCATCGCTCCAGTCCCTCTCCCTCCGGTACCCATGCAGGGCATCTAACGCACAGATACCTTATAATCCCAGAAGACTGCGTTTGCATCCGCTGCCTTTTCCTGGCCCGTTCAAGGCATCCGAAGCTGACAAGACCAAGGCACGCTGTTCTGATCCAACTTTCGATTGCGAGAGGTAAAATAAACAGTGGCGAATGTCCTCCAGCCCGTGCGTCGGAGAACCTTCTGCGGGACTTGCAGAAGAGGTGCGCCACTCGCCTCACCAGCCCCGTGCAGAGGCGAGAATGACAAAGCGAGCAGCCGGAAACAATCCCCGCCGCATGGCACCGGCACCTGCTGCACAAACCCATCGGGGGGGCACAAAGGTGGGGCTGGGGTTGGAGGGAAAATCGCTCCGAACGGCCCCTGGAAGAAGGAAACGCGTGAAACGAGAGCATCCACCTGGGCAGGCTCCCCAGCCACACCTTGGGATAACTCTCCCTTCACGAATCCCCGAACCCATGCCTTCCCTTCCCCCCTCCCAGATCTCCTCTGACGAGTCGGCTACACGCAAGAGCGACCCTGGGTACAGTCGGACGTAGGCCAGAAGAACATCCCTCAAGAACATGAGACCCTCCGTCGGCCAAAACAAACAGAACACCCAAGGGCACCCTCCCCAGGATGTACAAGAACGTCCAACAAACAAGAAAAAATTAGGGCACCCTCCCCGAATCAACCAGGAAGGCGTTGAAAATAGATTGGGTTCCGTCCGCCCCCTTGGGAGGCTGGAAAAGGTGAACCCATTCGATCACTGAAGTAGGAAGGCGCTTAACGTAGATTGGAAGATAGACATCCAAAAATACCTACCTCCAACGACCGATGGGGTAAGAGTGACCCTTGGTGCGCGGCGGTCGGGAAGCGGCGGGGAGTGGCGGAGGGGGGGCAAACCCAGGCAAGCATGACGCAACTATCGCATCGCACTCGGCGATCGGGGGACCCCATTGGGTCCGCATCCAGGGTCGCTCCAGCGACAGCTCACTCTCGCGTGTAGTCGAACAAAGCAGGTTGGCACATAGAGTATAATCCAGAGCACTGCGGGAGAGCTGGAGCAAGAGAGGCAGAGAGGAGTACGAGGTGAATACCGGACTCATGGCAAAGCGTAAGCACGAGGAGCAGGCAGCACACACCACACACCTCTGCACATAGCGCGGGAACACGTACCAGACTGAAGAACATTCGAGACCCTCCCCGGGATGCACGAGCACATCCAGCGAACACGACTAACTTCACTCTAAGGGTGCCCTCCCCAAACCGACCTCGATCTGATGCCTCGGTCCGACTGTAGTGGCTCCGCACAGCGCCTCGTGTTTGCACCAGGGGTGGGTCGGTTTCTTCCTTCAGTACCATCTGCAATGGCGTAGGTGGCTCAGGGCACTGGCTTGTCAAGAACAACCCCTGGTTTCCCTTCGGGGAGGATTTTACTCCTTCCCTCTACCCATCCAGAACGCACCACAAGTGTTTAGTGTCCAAAATGGCCAGAAGTGGCTCCAAGAAGCGAGATGACCGTAAATAGCCCGAGGTGACATCCAAGATCGCGCACTGCTATCGAGCTTGATTCAAGATGGCCTCCATCATGCCTCCATGCGGCCCCAAGAGAACGACAAGATCACCCGAGGGGGCTATGCAGCCTCCCAAGGACGTCCCCCAAAAGACCAGAACCGTCAAAGTACTAGCACGGATTCTGAATCACTCTAGCTTTCTCGCACGTTTTCCAACCTCGAGCCCAGAACTCACGCCAACGCGGACAGAGACAACGCGGCGGCCAGCGCGAGCGCTGGGACGACGACGCCGTCAGTTTCCTTCAACAGCACGGACCCGACCAGCATCCGACGCCCACACCAACCGCTGCGAAAGGCAAGCCGAATGATCTCACCTGGGCTCGCTCAGCTCAAGACATCTTCACGTGGTCGACACTGGAGCACAAATACATCAACCCTTCGCCGACATTCACAACCATAATTTACTCCTCTTCTCCTCCTCCGTCGTAACTTCTAGTGTGTTGTACAGTTTCATAACTTGTTGTGTGCCTCGAAGTTATGCTGCATGTCTGTATGTCTACAGAAGGCCATGGCCTCACCCACCTGGTCTTAGCAGGCCCGGGCTGCTGTCCGCTGTGGTGGTTCGTTCTCGCACTTTCTCCTGCGATAACAGTCTGGGGCCCAAATTGGCGCCAAGATGGCCCCAGAGGGCCGCCAGAGGGGTCCGGCAGGAAGGGTTGCGGATGAAGGGCGGGTGGTTTTGAACATCGGATTCTCTCATGCAGCTGTTTAGCATTGTCCTTTCAGAGCGTTTCTTGATCAGCTCTACGAACGGAAGGGCGGATAGCTGTCGAAGACTGGGCTATTTCTGAAACCTCATCACAGTTTTCATGACCCTGGTTCTTGAACACCCAACAACGACTGCAGTTACTGAGGGCATGCTTTTCACAACTGAGTTATCGCCTGGTACTTCCTCTAGTTACATGATCCTGAAGCTTGAAACTTCCAACTGGAACACACATTCAGAACGCTTCCGTTTTGTTTGTATGGAAATCCTGAAATGTCCTCGCGCCCTGCTGTGCTGCAGCTTGAAGGATCCGCCACTGCGATGTGCAGCGGCTCATCTGTGCTGGGATCCACGTTCGTCTTGCCAGTTTCGCCCCCGGCGAAACAGTCCTCAGGGCCCCGCCCGCGCCTACATCAGGTGTGCGGTGGGGAGCTCCGCGGGCCCTCCCCCTCAGCGCCCCCGCCAGCCCCCCCCCCCCCCACACAGCGTGGTGGGGACAAGAGCGGCGGCGCCACTGGATCCAACCGCTACACAGGAGAACGGCAACTCCTTCTCATCGGAAACTCTGATGCTCGACTGAAAAGTCTGCAGGCGGTCCAACCAGCTACACGGATGGAGAGTGGCTCTTCTACAAAACTTGTTCTCGTTGTTGCTTGAGACACCCTCGCACTCCAGAGCGGAGGGCCTTGTGAATTCCATCCAACACCTGTTCGGGCGGAGTGCGGCTCTTTTCAGAATCGTGCTATCGCTTCGGAAAGCCACCGCCAGCCAAATGCATAGAGGGCAAATCCTTCTCACATTCAATGTACTTCGCCATAGTGAGCGGTCGAACATCAATACCGTCGGGAACTTCTGCTTTAGCGTGTCGCCGCGGCGGGGCTGCGGGGGCAGCCGACCACCAAAGAATACGACGGAGACGCTATCAGCCACGTGGCAGGGACGGCGAAAGGGCCACCAGTGACAATTACTGCTCGGGCACCAGGGCGGAAATGTTACTTAAAACAAGATGTTTCTTTTGGCCCCGCATCTCTACAATCCGGGAGTGAAAAAGGAAGAGGGGGGGGGCCATCAATGAGGGGGAGGAGGAGGCGGAGAGAGGCCGCAACAAATCTGGGTCGCGACACTTCGGCCGCATTCCCCAGGACAGGCTGGTTACGACAGAATTCGCCTGTTCTGCTGCCGCGGAGGCGGAGGGGGAGGAGGAGGAGGGAGGAGGAGAGGAGGAGGAGGAGGAGGAGGAGGAGGAGAGGAGGAGGAGGAGGAGGAGGAGGAGGGGGAGGATCTTAGGAGGTGGCGGAGGGAGGCCGCAACAAATCTGGGTTGCGACACTACGGCCGCATTTCCCCAGGACAGGCTGGTTACGACAGAGTTCGCCTATTCTGCTGCCGCGGAGGCGGAGGAGGAGGAGGAGGAAGATCCTTCGCCACGGTAGAGAAAGAGGATAGGGAATCAACAACGGTTCACTCCTGACACGCGAAGACCGCAGCTTGCAGCGCACGTTCTATTGCAGCGGCTGGCGAGCGCCTTTTGCCCTCCTTGACTTTGTTATACAAGTGAAAATCCAACACGACTCGTCGAATGGCAGCGCGACGAGCGAGTGGGCCAGAAGGAGGGTAATGAGTGCCGAGGGCCCACCGCTGAATCGGGTCAGCGGGCGTCGGAACGGAGGGAGGAAAGAGGAGGCGGGAGAGGCAAGGGCAATTTAGACAGTGGCGGAGGTCATCGAGGGCTTGTGGTGGAGGAGTAGGAGGAGGAGGAGGAGGAGGAGAAGAAGAAGGAGGCGGAGAAGGAGAAGGAGGAGGAGGAGAAACGGAGGAGGCGGAGGAGGAGGAGGCGGAGGAGGAGGATGAGGCCCGGGGGCCAGGACGGGTGCAGCGTGCCGCGCCGAAGTGTGGAGGGCACCAGAGCCGGCGGAGCGACACGCGGTCCAAAGTTCCCGACCGCATGTTGGCTCCTGCGCATGTCACTGTCTGACTACCTACCAAACCACCCCAACCCAACCCGAAGACCCGAAATTCGCCCGAATTTCGGGTGGTGGGGTACGGTTTCCAT